TCTCGCCTACATCGTCCATATAGGACGACTCGGGAACTCAACTCCTACCCCGGGCAGCTCACCTATCCCCTTATGCCCAGGGGAAAGGTATCAAGCCGTTTGACAGCTGATGCTGGCTGTCAAACCGGCTTTTACGCAAAACAGGCGGGAGGCAGCAAACAGCTGCGACCAGCGAAATCGCCTGCCACCGGAAGTCAAAGCTTTGCTATACTTGTCCCCATTCTCCTGGAAAGGATGCAAGTGATGAAAACCCTTTGTAAGTGTTTTACAATTTTGTGTATGTTTCTTTTTGAATTTGGTTAATTTAAAAAAGTGTGAAAATATGCTTGCAAGATTAGAAAAAAGTTCCTGGAAATAGCCCGTTTCTTCCTATTTACCTGTGATAAACTCTTAAAGACTATAAAATATGCTTGATTCTGTTAAAATCCCTATTTTAAAAAATAGAACATTGTGTCATTTTTTCCCACTACTATAGCCATTGTCTACTCAAAAGTTAAATGTGGACACTCCCATTCAAAAAAAATCCATTTTGTTCATAGTCACTGTGCGATTAAAAAGCTAAATCACATTAAATACATTAAGTTCTAAATCACTATATAACTATTATTATTATAGCTGGGGATCAGTTGCCTCTTAAGTTTGGTTTTCAGTTCATTTTTGGCTTTTAGTTCAGATCACAGACTAATTCAGGAATTGCTTAGTCTAAGATCTTACAATCCAATCTAGCACTATGTCAGGATATCTACTGTACTTCAATGCTTTTCCCAGGGATAAAATTACTCACTTTCTTAAATTACATTGTTAGCTCATGAATAAAATGATCCATTTATCTTGTTCATTCAAAAAGAAGGGCAAACACCTTGAAAAGTGTTTGTTGAATAAAAATCCTGGTCCTATATATGATAGGAGGTAGGCTTCTTTCTCTAGTGTTTCACACCAAATTTAATCCTAAATACACTGCTTACAAAGCTGAGTTTGTGACCAATTACTTATCCAGCATTGTTGACAGACAAACAGTTGTNAATCCTTGTTTTATTGATTGCATGTAATATTCTAATTTTCTGAGATTGTGGATTTGGGGTTTTCGTGAGCTGTAAGCCATAATCATCACAGTTATGACACATCACGGCTTGAACTATCTTGCTTTGCATGTAATGAGTCTATCTCATATATTAGGTTCACCTTTTAAGTTGCATTACTGAAATAAATGAACTTTTGCACAATATTCTAATTTTCCGAGTTTCACTTGTATATAGTCTGTGATTGCTCACTGGTTTTATTTCTTAGCCATGTGTCCATCAAGATTTGCACCCATCCAGCTTCAAAAAATTGCGGTTGTCTTTTGTTGATTGCCAGAAACCACCAGTCTTACTTCTTTGATATTTGATACCATCAGGTTCTCCACTCAGTTAGTTCTATACTCCTGCACACAAGATGCCATCCCTGTCTCTTCTATATACTACTATTTCCAACTCCCAGATCTTGTAAATCAGCATATCAATTTCTGAAAATTCTGGGAGTTGACAGTATAGAGTTAGGTAAAACAAACTGCATTTAAGAGGCGAGTGTTAAACTGGAACGAAGTATAATCAGATGAATTTCTGTCCCATTGCTTTATTTAGTCTAGGACTCCGTAGACTCAGTTTTGTAAAGATAAATCATCAGAACAGTAATGATTGACCAAGTGATTAAATGATCTCTTCCTTGTAGTCATGTGAACATGCTACTGCTTAATGCAATAGTTTGTGGCAGTAATCTGCAGGAGACCTGGTAGTTTATTTGGAGAACATAATATCTTTCCTACAGTTACTCATATGGAGGCTGTCAAGCAGTAGTAATTTCAACTGCCAATTAAAACACTGAATTTTCTTTTTTTCTTTTTTAACAAGATTTTGGAAAGTTTAGCCATCTGTATAAGCATTTCCCAGTTGTTGTTTTTAATGAAAAAAGTAAGGGTTAAGAAAGGTTAAAAGAAAAATTGAAAGTCCAATTTTCTCCAGAATGCTTGAACATTTTCTATACTATAAAGTTTGAAATTCAGATAGTTTTCCTGACCTGCAGCATATATACTATCGCCAAGTCCATAACTATGCCAGCATGAAAAGCAGGAGTTAAAAAAAAAAAAAAAGCTAAGTCTTACCCAGGTGAAACAAAAAGGACCTGAAACTTTGAAAAAGGAAATAAAAAAGAAACTAATATGAAAAGCATACAAACATACAGCTCCATGTATGCCTTAAAATCACCAGAAAATTGGAGGAGTATCTGAAATAAATTAGATGAATGTGTGAAGGAGAAGAAAAACATGATGTCCAAATGAATTTCTTTGCATCTGTGTTCTTAGCAAAACACAAATCTTCAGTAGGGGGTTCCTGAAAAAGTTATATTCCTTATTATGCAAACCAATGTATAAATTGATTAAATACTGATGATATTCAAAACCTCCTGGGCAAGTAAAGATTTGCATGAAAGAGTAAACGATTGCTGTAACAATATTTAATAAGGGGACAAAGGCCATTTTAACAACAATGTATAAATAGGATTTGAAAAAAACATGCAGAAAAGGGACTAGCAGGATTTCCTATTAAAACTTAAGAGTGACACATATAAAAATATTTGGGCGAAAAGACGTACTTGCATTATCAAAGTTTGATAAAGTTCCTTGACGCAGATTCATAGCAAAAGTAAACAGGGTAAGGAAACTTTAATTGTCTCAAGAACAAAATGAAGAAATTATAGATAATGGTTTTTCTACTATATGATGATAGCTGCCAACTAAAAAAACTTTAAAGGGGGATGAGAACACTGAATAAAAAAATGTGCTTTTTAAAATAGAACATATTTTAGTGGACAGACTGCTGCAGTTAACAAAGTTTCATAGAATAGGACATACAATTTACAGTTTACATTTATGAGATACATCGTCCTTAAAAATTAAAAATGTAACGTTTAGTAGCAGAAGGAAGAGAAAACATTATCTTATCAGTACCTGATTGCCTTTGTGGAGTCTCAAGTTAAAACTAAAAGATCAAGGAACTGCTAAATTCTGCTGTTCAGTGCAGCAAAAACACCAGAATGGTTAATAATAAAACCCAAAGGGCAAAGTCTGACAGTAAACAACTTTAGGAAGCTTATTCAAAGTGGGATTTGAGCAAAACTCTATATGCTGTCCTGCAAACCCCATTCATTTTAATGGATTATGTGTATACCTGCCTTGGCAAAACCTTTCTGTTCACTTATGAATTCTGTCCTTCAATCTCAAACCGAATATACAAGAAAAGCATCAACATGCAGCTTTTGCGGTTCACCCAGAGCATTGATCCAAGGGAAGGAGATGGAATAAAGAAAAAAGTTAGATAGTACAGATAGGCACATTTTAATTCCTTGGAAGAGGATACATTCAGTGCAATGTATGGAGTTTAATAGTGTGTTGTTTTACAATTTTGACTGCCAAACACACGTAATGTTTTGACATCAATGATCAAATCTGGAAACTGGGATCTCTGAACTAGGAATGAAGTCAGTATGCAGAAGACAATTCATGGAAAAGTACAATTCACAACAGTGTTGGTCACTAAAATAAATCAGGGTACAGAAAGGAGATATATGGGATGTAGTGTCCTGTTTTTTTAGAATTGTAGTAGAAACATTACTTATAAAAACATTAGTATGTTAGAGACTGTTTGATATTAAGCAACCCTCTAGATTTTTCAGAAGGAAAAGGAACCTAACAGTATCCCAAAGTCATTAGGAAGTCCTGCAGTTTTCATGTGGTGCAAAGTTTTCCAGTTGGAAGATGAGATCAACAGCAGCTTCAACATCTAACACTGTGTGGTTTGGTTCTACTAAAGCAGGATCAAATCTGAAATCTCTGTGCCCGTGGAAGACAGTCTCAGTAACCCTTGTATCAGAAGGCACCTCTGTGTGAGGGTTGTAAACTCCGGTGCAAACAAGAACCGAGCTACATCTTGTGGCAGTAGCTGATGCAAGTTCATTTTCCCAAGAATTCTCAATCTCCTCTTCCTGAGAAACTGTGGCAGACCTCGTGCCCCCCAGGGCTTTGGCCTGGACATGAGTCTTAGAACTTCTTCTAGAGATCCTCTCTTCAAGGTAGCGGTTGTAAAGATTAGCACCATAAATATCTGTCATCAGGTTATCCCTAGAAAGCCAGGAAAGTTGCATCAGAACCAAAATATAGGAGGTACATACTGTATATGATTATTAAGGTAGCAGAGTTCATTTTATTAAAAGTTTGCAATTTTAGTCATTTGTCTACCTCCAGTTAGAATTTGGAGAGCTTTTTGGAATGAGACATAGACCACCTTTTGTATAATGTGCCATCTCCTCTTCATGGGAAACTATAAGTGTCAGAGCTCTCTTTGTGGGAATTTTACTTTTGATCCAGCAGCTTTGTAAACTCAAGTCCTACTGCATGGCATTGCACGGGGCTTCTTATTCTTTTGAAGAAATAAAGTTTAACCTATTTTCATAGAATATTTGAAGAGTTACAGATAGTCTTTGGATAATAATGTAATTGGGACTGTAATTGGGAATGTGGACAGAGGAAATAATTGGGAATGTGGGTATGGATGTGTGTGTTGCAGGTGGGCATGTGCTGTGAAATCTCTGTAGCAGGCTCCTTAGAAGAAAAAGTGGCAGAATTGACTTAAAGGAGTGATTTGTGCCTTTCCTTGTCAGCTTCCCATTGACTTTGCTTGTGGGAAGTTAATAGGGAAGGTTGCAAATGGTGATCAGGTGACTGCAGTCACATGACTGTGATGCTGCAGCTATCATAAGTGTGAGCTGGTTGCCATGCATTGTAATAGCAATCATGTGATTGTGGGGTGCTGGGATGGCCGGAACATTGAGGACTGCTTATAAGCCCCTGTCAAAACTTTGAATGGCTGCTGAACGAGTGGTAGTTAACTGAGAACTGCCTGTATTATTTTAAGTATTTAAAATAATAAAATTTAAAAACCTGTAATTTTTTTAAGGCTGCAAGGGTGAATACATTACAGCCATCTTTTCTAATCTATTGCCAGTGGAATGTCATCTTGAAGTCATCTTCCAATTTCCTCCGTAGGGGATGACAGAAACTTTAGTTCAATGCAAGCAGAAAACCTTGTTTTGAAGATGAGCATGTTATAGTCTCATAGGTGTTCTCAAGTTGCAACATTTCATGCATATCCCAATATCAAACTGATACTCCCAAAACTTTCAGATGACAATTAAATTAAAAAAAATTGACATCCCAGAATTTTAACTTTCAATTGAAAAGGGTTTTTCTAAAGCTGTTTCTCATGAGCATGAATAAAATCTGAAATGCACAAGCAGGGTATGGCACAGGGCAAGCTTCTTTAACGTAACATGCTGGGATTATTACAGCTCTTCGAATTCCCAGTAAGTGGGATAGAGAAATAGATGATAAAGGAAGCTGCTGGATCATTTTAGCACTCCTTGTCTACTTAATAGGCTGCCTTTTTATTGGCAGCCATGCAATGGCATTTCATGCTAAATAGTCTCATTTTACAATAGGCAGGATTATACTGCAATGAAATTACTTCCAAAATCAATTTGAAGCTTCGTTGAAACTGTACAATTACATGAATAACCAATGATTCAAATGTTCTCTCACATAGCTCTTCCAAAGTGAAATCTGTAGCGTTTGAACCGAAATTTCAAGCATGACATCCATGAACTACAAAGGCAACCTTACCTGGTGCTGGGGACCAATCAATTCTATTAAGAAAACATGCACAAGACTAGACTGTAACACTTAAGCACACAAGAGCAAGTAATTTCTTTGTTAGAGGCAGCGCGAGATCTTAAAAGGTTTCAAATTAATTGGCAGATTGGGTAGTGCTATGTAAAATACGGGACAGATTTTGCTATTGACTTGGCTGTCTAGCCCAGTGATGGCGAACCTTTTAGAGATCGAGTGCCCAAATCACAACCCAAAACCCACTTATTTATCTCTGGGTGCCAGGTGGGCATGACCCACTGGGTGGGCCTGGGTGTGGCCAAGGTGGGCGTGGTAACCTCAATGTTGCTCGTGGGGAGAGACGCCTGTGGGGGCCGGGCAGGGTTGGGGGAGATCCAGGGGATCTCTGGCAGGTGGGGTGGTAGGCAGGAGGCTCGTCCTGCGGGGTGAGGCGAGGCAAGGAGAGGTAGGGTGGGGGTGCCATTGTCACAGGGCAAGGTGAGGCAGGGGCCGGGGCGGCGGCTGCCTGACACCATCGGCCCCCGCACAGAGGCCAGCGAGCGTATGGGGACTGACAGTGTCCATCAGCAGCCACAGCCCCACTCTGGGGCTCCGCAGCCCACCTCCAGCAGTTCAGAGAAGCCGCCTCTGAGCTGAACAGCCAGCCGACAGCTGAGGACGCAATGCAGTGGGTCATGCCGAGAAAAAGGAGAGCATGCGAGGCTAGGAGGGATGGGACAGGGGGAGGGAAACCAACCATGCGACCTCGGCGAGTTAGCGGGCAGCCGGTTGAAGAGGGACAGTTGCCATCTCTGGGGCATGGTGTGCGTGCCCACAGCGAGGACTCTGAGTGCCGCCTCTGGCACGCGTGCCATAGGTTCGCCATCACTGGTCTAGCCTGTCTCCCAAGTTAGAAAGAGCAAGAATGAATTGGTACCCTATAAAACAATTAGTTTAGAGATCAACCCATCCTCAGGGGCCTATCCAATACTCTTTTCAATTGTCTACCGCCATTTAACTTGGAGCAACAGCTTGCCTGAAATTTAACTTTTTTTTCTGGAGAGGAAATGAGAGGAAAGAAAAGAAATCTCCTACCCAATGGCATACAATGTTTCAATAGGGCTCTTCCACTGCTTTGCAGATGCTTGAGTCCTAATGAGGTACTCTGCATAGTGGTAAGTCACTTCACTAGGCTTTCCCATCAATACTTCATATTTCAATTCTTTTCCAGTGATTTTCTTATAAATATTTTCCAAACAAACCATAAATGTTCCATGCCCAAATCTGAAACACAGAAATAAGATTTGGTCAATAAAGTTATATCATTGGCTAGGATAAAAACAATGTATTACACCAAAAGGAAAAATTTAATGTATACTATTTATCCAAATCCTTAGCTTCTCTTCTATGAATTTATAAGGCAAGATTGCTTTGATTCACTTTTTCTTCTGCCTACATAATTCCCGACAGTCACTTAAAAGTTGAAGAAACTTGCCAAAACATTTTTAATTGTGTAGAAAAAAGCCGATCTGGGCAAGATAGCCTCCACAAAACATTTAATTAAGTTTACTGTGAGAACATTATCTTGATGCTTTTGGCAGGACCATCAAAAAATGCTATGATCAGAATCAGACAAAAATAGCAGCTTAATTTCAAGAGAGAAAAACATTAACTCAAAAGCACAAGTTACATATCAACATCTCCACCAGATGGATCTGTAGCTGGCTAACAAACCATTCTCAATCAGTAGTCCTCAATGGCACTATATCCACATGGAAAGAAGTAAGCAGTGGGGTACCACAAGGTTCTGTTTTAGGCCCAGTTCTCTTCAATATCTTCATAAATGACTTAGATGAGGGAATTGAAGGGGAACTCATCAAATTTGCAGATGACACCAAACTGACAGGAGTAGCCAACATCCCAGAAGACAAACTCAGGATCCCAAAAGATCCCTATCCAACAAAATGAGTTTCAATGTGGAGAAAAGCAAAGTCTTACATTTAGGCAGGAAAAAACAAAAGTACAAATACAGATTGGGCAAGATCTGGCTTAAAAACAGTAACTGTAAGAAAGACCTTGGAGTCCTAGTGGACAATCATTTGACTATGAGCCAGCAGTATATAGCAGCAACCAAAAAAGTTAATACAATCCTGGATTGCATAAATAGAGGCATAGAATCAAGATCACACGAAGTATTATTACTGCTTTATAAATTCCTAGTAAAACCACATCTGGAATACTGCAGCCAATTTTGGTCACCTTATCACAAAAAAGATGTTAAGAATTTGGGAAAAATTCAGAGAAGAGCAGCTAAGCCAATCAAAGGCCTAGAGACTAAAACATACGAAGAATGGCTACGGGACTTGGGTTTGGCTAGTCTAAAGAAAAGAAGAAATAGGTGAGACATGATAGCAGTGTTCCAGTATCTGAGGGGCTGCCACAAGGCAGAGGGGGGCAGGTTGTTCACCAAAGCACCAGGGGGAAGGACGAGAAACAATGGTTGGAAACTGATCAAAGAGAGAATCAACCTGGAACTAAGGAGAAACTGACAGTGAGGACAATCAAACAATGGAACAGCTTATCCCCAGAAACCGTGGGCGCTCCATCACTGGAGATTTTTAGGAAGAGACTGGACATTCACCTCTCTGAGATAGTATAGGTCAGTGGTGGTGAACCTATGGCACGCGTGCCAGAGGCGGCACTCAGAGCCCTCTCTGTGAGCACGTGCGCCATGCCCCGGAGATGGCAACTGTCCCTCTTCAACCAGCCACCTGCTAACTCGACGAGGTCCCACGTGGCCGGATGCATCCCGGCACGGCTGGTTTCCCTCCCCCCTGTCCCATCCCTCCTGGCCTCGCATGCTCTCCTTTTCCCGGGCACAACCCACTGCATCACCTCCTCAGCTGTTGGCTGGCCATCCCCCTCAGAGGTGGCTTCTTTGAACTGCTGGCGGGCTGCGGAGCCCCAGAGTGCACTGGTTGAGGGGCCGGCAGGCTGTAGTTGCTGATGGACACCCCATGCACTCACTGGCCTTTGTGTGCAGGGGCTGATGGTGTCAGGCAGCATCCGCCCCTTGCTTTGCCTCATGGTAATGGCACCTCCGCCCTGCCTCACCTCACCCTGCAGGACAAGCCTCCTGCCTACTGCCCCACATGCCAGAGACCCCTGGATCTCCAACCCTGCCCACCCCCCACATGTGTCCCTCCCCAGGAACAACATTGAAGTGACCATGCCTACCTTGGCCACACCCACCCAATCTGCCACAACCATCACAGCCACGCCCAGTCAGTGGGCCACGCCCACCTGGCACCCGGCAATAAATAAGTGGGTTTTCGGTTGCAGTTTGGGTACTCGGTCTCTAAAAGGTTCGCCATTACTGGTATAGGTTCTCCTGCTTGAGCAGGGGGCTGGACTAGAAGACCTCCAAGGTCCCTTCCAGCTCTATTCTATTCTATTCTATTCATATATTGTATGTAGTAGCAGTCAACTACTACAACAGTTGCAATGGTAGTTTAATTGGCAATTCAATTAGGTTTGACAAACTGAGCTATTCATTTACTATAAATAAAACCATTAACTTTATTATGTGTATACTTGCACACAAAACAAGCATTCATGTGTTTCCAATGATGCTTCTAATGCATCTGGAAGTAGTATTTCCAGCCAAGCTCCTTCCCACTAAAGAAAAACACCTTCAGAGCAACTAGCATCTTTGCCTTACCTTGGGGATTGAGCTTCAGCTGCCCACATCAAATCCATATTACAAGCCAATACAGGAATATGTGGATAAGTTCTCTGATAAGGATTTCCAGGATAGCCACTTGTCAAAAGAACATCTATTATCAACTGTAAGTTGGTTTCCCACCTCACTGGCTCACCAAACAAAATAACTGCTGTTAAGATACGCACAATATCAATGTGTTACATGCGCATGATTGTAAGCTATTTCCTAATCAAAATAACAAACACACCACCTTCTGCCTTTCATGCACACTATAACAAGAATAGGCAAACTATGGGCTCAGGCTGCATTTAGTCATTGAATTTATTTTTAATCAGCCCATAAAGGCTGCTGTGATCATATCATCAGAATTTAGCAGCAAATAAATAAATTAGCCAATGAGCTTAGCACATCTTAAAGTGCAGAAATCGTTTTTAAAGTATCACAAAAACCACTTGAGGTAGCATTAAATTGCTTTGTCCACTGATATCTAAAAGAAAATAATTACTTTGTACTTAAAGTACTTCAGTCCTTTTTCCTTTTAGAAACAGAGAAAAAAACACAAGAAAAAATCATAAACTGTACAGAACCCAAATTTTTATATAAACTTGGATGATTCAGTGCCAGTGGAATATAATTACAAACCTCAACAGAACTTCTGTAAGATGAATTAGCGTAGAATAATAATGAAGATACTATTTTAAAAGTCACATTACTAGTTTTTTATTAGTTTTTAAACTGCATATGAAATAGAAACTGTAAGAATGAGGTTTGGCAAAGAACTAGAAACTTCACAGCTTAACATTAATGGTAGATTTATAAAGAGTGCAGATAGAAGAAAAATCAAAGAAATAAAAATGGACAACCTGTCAGTATCATTATAAACTGATATATACTGTATATTGTATATGATGACTGTCACATTCTTGTTCAGATATATCACAAAAAGCTAGGAAAAATTAGCAAAATGCTTTGAGAGCTATCACAAAGCAGTCCATTTTACTTGGAGCAAATTTCAGAATTAGACATAAATATCTTGACATACTGACCTTCAATTTTGGGAAATTCCATTGTGGGTAAGTGCTACAAATTAAAAACAAATTACATTTACTAAGAAAAGTATCCTTTATTAGCACAAAGAAGAAACCCAGTAAATAAGCCTTTGAACATTATGGGTGCACCCTATGTTCTGATTAAATTTCCTATACCTCTAAAAAATTAAAAATTATCATCGCAACTGTAAGGAGATGAGATACTGCCCATTTATACTTGCCTCTTAGATCTTGAATTGCCTTTTAAAAAAGCACTTTTGAGACAAATGACCTGGATGACCGAGAATCTCCATAAATATTTATCTCATAATCTTGCTGTAAGAGAAGCCCATATAATTGCTAATGTGTCTTAGAAATGACACTCCTGGGTTTATAACATAGACTCCCCTCTAATATACACTCATATTTTTAGGCCTAATTCAACCTGCCACCAAAGCTTTTTCCTCCACTGTCTGACTGTACACCTGTGATCATTTGAAAGTTCTTACTATTAATCCCCTGTCATTTCCACATATTCAACTGTAGCTCACTTTAGTCTGTAGAAGTTGCATTATGTTCAACAGCACAATATCACAAATGTGAAGATGAAATCCATATTCATGCATTCTTGTATATGTTTTTATAATATACACATTCATTGACTTAACAAATGATGTTGAATTTCAGCGTCACAGTTAAATTTTACAATTTAAAAGGAGGAGGAGACTAATTCAGGGTCAGGCTGATTGGGGATTATGGAATATCATATGAAAGGCTGTGGATAACTTCAGTTGTTTTACCTGGCAAGTAAATTTAACTAGCCTTCCCTCAAGACAATGCTTTCAAGTTTAAATAATCATGGAAAAAGACTGGGGACACCTGAAGTAAACTACTGTATATCCTAAAATTGGCTGACCAGATCGATTACTTTCAATACCCTACTGAATTAAATTATTTCTCTGATTCACAGCTTTTCTTTAGCTATATGTGCGCTTGCTGCAAAATAGTGTATCAGCAACATCTATATTATAGTGTGCTTATAGTAAAGGAAAGGAACTATATAGTAAAGGAAAAGAGCAAAGAAAAGGAACAAAAAAAACAACAACCCTGCATCACAAATTAACAATTACTCCTTTCTGCAAGACAAGCAAGCTATGTAGCTAATTAGAGAGCTAACCATACATTGATCTGAACTCCAGATGTCAGGAGAGATTGAATTGAACAAAGCTGGTTCTGTCCAATGTTGCTGCCCTCTTTACCCTCTTGCCTACTACAATACTTGAGCCTTTGTGTTATTAGTCATCAGTACCATTTCCTCAGTTGCTCTCTCAGCTGCTACCAAATCTGTTCTAGGATCAGTCAATATTGAGAAACTCTAAGAAAAAAGTGCAATCTTTTAAATGCTATGAATGATGTAAAGTTACTTTAAATGCATCCTTTGTGTACACAATGCATAATTTTTGATAATCAAATTACTAGTACATGTTGCATCAAGGAAACAATAAGACTTGAGCAATCAGACTTTCACCACTACATTACTGTTTTTAATTTGTGTATGTGGGGAAATATTTATCCACTCTATGTTATAATCCGAACTAGAACTAAAACACACCTTCATATGTTGCTACTGGCAGAAAAATGACTACCAACAGAATATCAAAAAGTTAATATAATTATAACATAGAACATCAATACCCATCTGTTCCTGGTATGAATCTTGGAAATATATCTCTCGGCTCATTTTAATGCACGTTTTGTTTTTATTGAATATTGTTTTATATTAACTTGTACTTATTTTACTGTACTTCATACCACTGTATGAAAGGTCATCTGACTAGGTAAAGTGAAGTCTCCTTTTAGTCAAGCTTAACTATTGACAATTGATGTATCCATTTGGTTTTCTTAACAGGGAAAGAGTGTTGTTGCTAAATCTTCCTGGTGTTTTTCAACTTCCTGGTCTGGACTACATTACTGGTAATTCCTGGTCATTTCTTACTCAATTAGTAATCTGAACTGACACTGTTTACTTTCTGAGTCTAGAAAAGGTAAGTGATACTGCCACTTTCTAAAATCTGTTCAGGAAGGTATTTAGCATTTGAAAGGTCACATTTTTCTCTGTCACACTCAAGCCCCATCTTCAAAACTGGTTAACAATTTCAACCTAGATCCTGCACATGCACAGATGAAGCTTCGCTTGCTTGCCTGCCAGCACAGCCCAGTTCCTAACAAGCTGTGGACCAATACCTAATCCATGGCCCTGGGATTGGGGACCCCTGATTTACATGACAAGCAGGCCAATAGGCTACTGTAATTACAGACAATGTAAAAATTGTGGAAGGAATTATTAAAAAGTAAAAAGCAATAAAGTACAGTACACTTACCAAAACTTTAGGTTTTCTGTCATGATCTACCATGTCCAATAAGGGATAAGTTTCTCGCAACCTGTCAATTGTAATAGGCCGACAAAATCCAAGACTAATGACATATTGGTTATGGATAGCAATGCATCTATGATTTAATGAAAGGCATATTTGTTTTACATTCCCCAAACAAATAATACATTTGAAATGGTAGTGACAGACGTATTCTAAGTAAAGGAAATGTTTCCATATCCTCTGGGAGAGTACATACAATATAGGGAGAGAGATAAACACAATCTTTGTTCACTCAGAACTTTATATTTAGGACTCTTACAAAAGCTATTTTTTATTCAGAAATACAACAATGTCCAAGAAAAGTTTCTTATTAACTCATTATAATTTATGATAACATTCCAATCTGAAACATTTATGAGAGTTCCTAATAAATGGCCTCAAACTGATTTCTAGAAACTTTGCTTTGAAAATCTTTAACTCTGCTCAGAGAAAAAAGAATTTTGAATCAGTGGAATTGATTCAAGGAGTCAAGAGGCAAAGGAGATCTACTCCCCTTTCTTAGTCTGGCTATCTTTTTACATCCTGTATCATCCCATTTGAGATTTCCTAAATTCGCAGACTTCATGGGAGACATTTTTTGCTTTCCCTACAAAATGTACCTTTGGATCTTGAGAAAAAAATGATACACACCACATGCTTAACTCTAGCACACTCCCCTATCGTGCACCTTCAGCCCAATGCAGAATGAACCCAGCATTTTCCAAGGATACTGCTCAGCGATGTCAAGGAGTGGGCCTTGTCCTGATACAAGAACACATTTGTCATGGTAACGTTTGAACATTTGCAAAGGACTGTGGGACATCATAACTTGGTCTTTGGAAATCTAGGACAAAGAAAAAGTGGATAATCTGTTTTCATTCTTGTACAGATAGCACTTGAATTACGACCATTCGTTCAGTGACTGTTTGAAATTACAATGGTGCTGAAAAAATGGACTTTCGACCCATGCCCGAAGTTATAGCCGTTGCATCACCCTTGTAGCCACATGAACAAAATTCAGGTACTTGGTAGCCTGTCCACACTTACGAACACAGGGGTGCTGCAATTCCCCCCACCTGCCTCTATCCTCTTGATCTATGCCCTTTTGTCCACCCTGAACAGAGTACTTGATGGCAGCAGCAGTGCTGGGGCCGAAAGCGAGTCCTGAGGCCTTCAGCAATGTCAACCAGATGCCACCTAAAGCCCCAAAGCTGCCCTACTATGCCAGCACCATTCCATAAAGCCCCAATTCCCCCTGCTACCCTGTGCTCTATAGGAATTGTCACACCCTACTTTCGCTATTTTTCTCCAGCTGCTGACAGGCATATCCAACATATGTGGCAAAGCTGCTGCCCGTGCCAGGTCTTCTTACCAAAGCTGCCTTGTGCCAGTCTCCAAGCTGGCATTTCATTATTACGATGCTTCAGAAGCTTCATTCCCCAAACTGCACGATTTGGTGAATAAGGCTTCCGAAGGTTCGAAAGAATGGAGGCCACTCTTGTGGTGCTTTGGAAACCTCATTCCCCCAGATTGCTTCCAAAAGAAACGGGAAATGTAGAGCAGTGGTGGCGAACCTATGGCACAGGTGCCAGAGGCGGCACTCAGAGCCCTCTCTGTGGGCACGCGCGCCGTTGCCCCAGTCCTAGGCCTTCAGCTGGGTTTTATAAAACCTTTTCGCTTTAGGCCTCCACCGCCGTGTGCACAAAAAACAAAAAAGTTCAATCAATCAGTCAATTTCAACTTCTCGCGCGGAAAAAAAAGATCTTGCGAAGTTGGAATTGATTGATTGAACTTTTTAGTCCCACCCAGTCTGCTGTTACCACTGCAGCCACGCCCACCCAATGGGTCACACCCACCCAATGGGCCACGCCCACCCGGCACCTGACGATGCATAAGTGGGTTTTGGGTTGTAGCTTGGGCACTCGGTCTCTAAAAGGTTTGCCATCACTGATGTAGAGCAATTTCAAAATGTAGAACAATTTTAATAAAGAATGGCAAGACTTGTAATAAAGTTTAAGAAGCTGCCTCTATCAGTTGAAGGCAAAATCCTAAACTATACACCAGGGGTCTTCAAACTTGGCCCTTGTGGACTTCAACTCCCAGAATTCCTCAGCCAGCATGACTGGCTGAGGAATTCTGGGAGTTTAAGTCCACAAGTCATTAAAAGAGCCAAGTTTGAAGACTCCTGCTGTAGATAAATATATGATAATTCTAATTCACGTACTGCAGAGAAGAAAGAAAATGACAAACATTCCAATAGATGACAACGTTACTTACTGGAACTTCAAGAAGATGGGACAGCTGGTCTGCTTTCTTCTGACAAAGGCAGTTTCCTGCATTAGTAACAAATACTACAGGCACCAAAAGTTGTCCCTGAGAATTAAGTAGTTTTTGAAAGGCTTTTCGGGCAGCAGGAATTGGGGTCTTTCCTCGTACCAATACTCCATCGATATCAAACAGAATGCCAAAGGTAGGTTGTACACCTAGCTGAAATGGAAGAGAGAAATAAGAAAATTCTTGTTATCAACCAGACATCTTGCAGTTTAGAGTCATAACATCCTTGTACAGAGTTATTCTCCTTTGTTTTAAGCAACTTCATATAAATCCTCCTCCCTTTCACTGCTTATTCACAACAATTATGTGAAATTGCTAGAAGTGGTTAGTATTATCTTAATAATCCTGTGAAAGTGTTTACACCAGGGGTAGTCAACCTTGGCTCTTTTATGACTCGTGGACTTCAACTCCCAGAATTCCTGAGCCAGCACAGCTGGCTCAGGAATTCTGAGAGTTGAAGTCCACGAGTCATAAAAGAGCCAAGGTTGACTACCCCTGGTTTACACCAAGGAGTATGCTCGGCTCAAGGCTATATAGTGAACTTTATAACAGAATTGGGATTTTAGTTCTATTCCAGGAAACTCTTTTTCGCAATTGTACCTTCTATACTCAAGCAAAATCACCAACACATTGCCATATTACAAATTATTATTATTATTACAAATTAAGTGTGGCATCTCCCAGCTCCCTTTCCCGCCAAAGGGACTCTTAGAAAATAAAATCATGGGTGGCTGCAGCTCAGCACTTTCTTTGCCTTCAGGCATGTGTGTGTTTAGGGACTGACCACATTCAGCCTTTTGTAGGCAAGTTGATCACTTATTCTCCAATCCCACATCTGCCTACCAGCTCAAAGGTGTGATGTCACTTGAAGAATGATTCTTGTCCAGAAGCATATTTCCAGCAGTTGGAAACACAACCCACAAAAAATTATTGCCCTATATGTAGTTTCTTGTTTATAAGTACAAAGAACTCTAATGACTGGCTTCACATATTGCTCAATAATAATGTGAGTTGTCTGGTTTAATGTGGTATGCAAACCCAGCCAACTTGTCAAACCAAGAGTGGGAAAGGAAGAACCATCTTATTTGTAAAAATTATTGATGAATCGAATACATGAACTCTACAAAGAAATAGCATGTGATAATACAGTCAGTTGAAGTGAAGAAAATGCTTCTGAAAAGAGAGGAACAATGTATTTGACAGAAAACTTCCCACGTTCCTTTGTTGGGTATCTAGTAATACAATGTCAATGAACTCAAGGCTATAAAATGTAAGGTGCCAAAGTCATTAATTTGTTGTGAGCCCCAGACAGCAGACTTGTAGAAAGCAATAGGGCAGAAGCTCTTCAAATTCAAAAAGCATAATTTTACCTATATTAATCTATTTCACGGGTGTCAAACTTGCAATGTCACATGATGTGTCATGATGTATTGTGACTTTTCCCCCATTGCCGGCAATGGGGTGGGCACAGTTTTGGCATGACTCATCCAGCCCGCGGGCCGGCAGTTTGACAACCCTGATCTATTTAATACAACTTGGCAAAAAAGATAAATAATGACAGTGTTATCTCCAACTATCCGTCCAAGACTATTTGTCCATTATGAGACATAAAATATTAACTAAATAACTGAATTAGAAAAAGGGATCAGATGGAGAGGAATTTTAGCTACTGGAAAAAGTAAACTCATTTCTTACGTTTTTGACTCAGATATGCTTGATAAACCATTATTTCTATACAGTAAATCTTATTAGGGATTGGATTATATTAATATTTTGGCCTGTTTTAACTTACAAAACTCTTATTTTACTAAAAAGAAATATACTCAGAGAAAAATAAAAACATTTAAAACATCTGAAAATACATATTCCAGAGAACATGAATATGCAATTCAAATATTCCAACTGGAAACTGATGGTATAGCTAAGAGAAGAATCAGATTTTTCGGTGTATAACAATAGTTCACACACTGTTTTAATTTGAGCCTATACTAAGCATATAAAACAAGAAAAGGACCCAACACTTTTATGGCTTTCCGTGTTTGAATTAGTTGAAACAAAAAAATGAAGTAAAAGAATTCCAGTATCTCTCTGTAAATGCCTTCTTTTCTGGTTCAAAAACTGGATGCAATAAAGCACATATTTCACATTTTTATTGAGGATTCTGTTAGCAGCTTGCAGACTTTCTTATATTGCTTTTTAATCTGTTTAAGTGTTAACTATCTCCACAAATACTAGATGCTAGGAAAGTGTAAGTGGGAATTAAGTCATGACAATAGAATAGGCATTGGTATTAAATATATCATGAATCCATTTAAAAGAATGTAGTTTTCCTATTAGTTTAGTCTAGTTTAACGAAGAGAAGGACGAGAGGAGACATGATAGCAGTGTTCCAATATCTCAGGGGCTGCCACAAAGAAGAGGGAGTCAAGCTATTCTCCAAAGCACCTGAAGGCAGGACAAGAAGCAACGGATGGAAACTAACCAAGGAGAGAAGCAACCTACAACTAAGGAGAAACTTCCTGACGGTTAGAACAATTAACCAGTGGAACAACCTGTTTCCAGAAGCGGTGAATGCGCCAACACTGGAAGTTTTTAAGAAGAGACTGGACAGCCATTTGTCCGAAATGGTATAGGGTTTCCTGCCTGAGCAGGGGGTTGGACTAGATGACCTCCAAGGTCCCTTCCAACTTTACTATTATTATTATTATAAGTGCCCTTTCACCTATAGGAAGGACAGCACTTGTTCATTTTGCCATTTTTACTAGAAGATGTTACTGTAATTGTTTTATAATATACTTGTACAATTACCAAAATTGATCAAGCATAAACAATTAGAAACTTCTACTGGACAAACCTCTCCATGCATGCAGGCACATGGTCAAGAGGATCATTAAAATCATAATTTCCAGTGTGCAATATTTATATTTACATATAAAGGCTGAGTCTTTCCACTGTATTAAGAGATCCCACAACCGTATTTTTTATGATTAGATATTTAAGTAGTTAGTTTAGAGCAGTGATGGCGAACCTTTTAGAGACCGAGTGCCCAAACTGCAACCCAAAACCCACTTATGCATCGTCGAGTGCCGGGTGGGTGTGGCCCATTGGCTGGGCGTGGCCCATTGGCTGGGCGTGGCTGCAGTGGTAACGGCAGACTGGGTGGGACTAAAAAGTTCAATCAATCAATTCCAACTTTGCAAGATCATTTTTTTTCCCACAAGAAGTTGAAATTGACTGATTGAACCTTTTTTTTTTTTTTGCACACAGCGGCAGAGGCCTAAAGCGAAAAGGTTTTATAAAACCCAGCTGAAGGCCTAGGACTGGGGCGACGGCCCACGTGCCCACAGAGAGGGCTCTGAGTGCCACCTCTGGCACCCGTGCCATAGGTTCGCCACCACTGGTTTAGAGAATTAAAAGTTTATTTATGCCAGGTTAGATACTGGTACTTACATGCCCAATTACGGCATAATTTCACTATACATTTGCCCACAAGGTGTATGGAGATCGTAATAACATGTTAGTCATTTTAGTTTATCTTTGCCCAGAAATCAGAAAGAAATTGTTGGCATAATGTCTGCATTCCATTTGCCATAACACTGATGGGGAAAAAAAATCAACAGCAGTTTGAAAGGTAGAATTGATTATGTATCAAGATGGTATCAATTTTTAACAAAACCATGTACTGTAGATAGATTATCTCCAGAAGAATATGTCCCCAACCTGGTTCTTCAGGCTTTCAATGACACACCTATTATTGCTATCAATGAATCTATTACCTTCCACCTTTCCCAGCATTACTGACTTGTCCAGATAAGTAGGTCTTCGCATGTGTCCATAGTATGATAATTTCAGTCTGGTCATTTGTGCCATTAGTGAGATCTCTGCTTTGATTTGTTTGATGACCTATTTGTTTGTTGTCTTGGTATTCTCAGATCTTCTCCAACACCAAACTTGAAAAGAGTCAGTACTCTTTCTATCCTGCTTCTTCAAAGTCCAACTTCTATACAGTGTATCAGAAAAAAACAACTTCCTGCACAATTTTGATCTTTTGAAAGGTAGAAACCTATTGCTAAAATAAGTAAAACTGAAAACAGGAACCTAAAAGAATAGAAAAATTCCAGCAATCTGATTTTTAAACGATCACCTTGGATGTAGTGATGGCTCATATTTGTAAATAGCTGCAAGTATAAACACAATCCCAAATTTTATCTCTGGGATTATCTTTGTGCATGAAAACAAACTAAATGAATAAATATTGTAAAATAAACCCATTGCAAAAAGAAACCATATAGCCATCTGAGGCGGTGGTGAGGCCCCTCCTTAAGAAGCCCTCCCTGGACCCAGATGTATTGGCTAACTATCGCCCGGTCTCCAACCTTCGCTTTGTGGCGAAGGTTGTTGAGAGTGTGGTTGCGCAGCAGTTCCCTCGGCACCTGGAGGAAACAGTCTATCTGGACCCGCTCCAGTCGGGCTTCAGGCCGGGATACAGCACGGAAACGGCATTGGTCACGNAATACCAACCTTCTGATCTAAACTCCACCTCATTAACAATTGATTATAATAAAACCAGGAATATACAATATTTTCTTGTTTCAAATCCGCTAAGGATTTAATTTGCCAATCCTGTCCTACCAAACTAAGTAATTCCCTATAGGTAATATTATCCAAATTAACTCCTCTAGATACCCCCTCTATCACCTGTCCTGGAATCACCCAAATGGGAATTTTATAATTTAGTCTATAATAATATTTCTTCTAAACTCGTAATAAAGCACTTCTTAAAATGTGAGTTTTGAAAACTTGATCTACTTTTTTATTATAAATCAAATAAGCATGCCAGACAAATAATAAATCCCATCCCTCAAGTATAATAAATCCCATCCCTCAAGTATATTTCTATTTGTTAAATTAAGCCAATCACTAATCAATATTCCTCCCCATCCAGACCCATCCAGGGTCTGGATGGGGAGGAACAGACTCAGGCTCAACCCTTCCAAGACCGAGTGGCTGTGGCTGCCGGCGCCTCGGCATAGTCAGCTGACTCCATCGCTGACTATAGGGGGCAAAATTTTGGCCCCCTCGGAGAGGGTACGCAATCTGGGGGTCCTCCTGGATTCACGGCTGACACTGGAAGACCAGTTGTCGGCTGTGACCAGGGGGGCGTTTTATCAGGTACGCCTGATACACCAGTTGTGACCTTTTCTGGACCGGGACGCCTTGCGCACAGTCACCCATGCTCTCGTCACCTCCCGCCTGGACTACTGTAATGCTCTCTACATGGGGCTCCCCTTGAGGAGCACCCGGAGGCTCCAACTGGTCCAGAATGCGGCCGCGCGGGCGGTGTTGGGAGGGACTCGTCGCTCCCATGTAACGCCGCTGCTGCGCGAGCTGCACTGGTTGCCGGTAGCCTTCCGGGTGCGCTTCAAGGTGTTGGTTATCATCTTCAAAGCGCTCCATGGCATCGGACCTGGATATCTCCGAGACCGCCTTCTGCCGCAGATTACCTCCCATCGGCCGGTACGCTCCCACANTTGGGAGGGACTCGTCGCTCCCATGTAACACCGCTGCTGCGCGAGCTGCACTGGTTGCCGGTAGCCTTCCGGGTGCGCTTCAAGGTGTTGGTCATCATCTTCAAAGCGCTCCATGGCATCGGACCTGGATATCTCCGAGACCGCCTTCTGCCGCAGATTACCTCCCATCGGCCGGTACGCTCCCACAGAGTGGGTCTCCGCAGGGTGCCGTCAGCCAGACAGTGCCGGCTGGCGACCTCCAGGGGGAGGGCCTTCTTGGTGGGAGCTCCCACCCTCTGGAACGAACTACCCCCAGAGATCCGGGTGATCCCGGATCTCCCCTCCTTCCGCCGCGCCCTAAAGACATGGCTCTTCCAACAAGCGGGATTGGCCTAGGGGAATTTTTAGTGGGGTTTTAAGAGAAATTTTAATTATATAGGCCACAGTAAATATTTCTTTTTAATTAGGTTTTAAATTGGTATTTATTGTTGTATCTGTTTTATAAGGCTGTCAGCTGCCCTGAGTCCGTAAGGAGAAGGGCGGGATAAAAATTGAATAAATAAATAAATAAATAAATAAATATAGCTCATTATGACTTATAATTCAAACAATGAAATGTTTCTGAAAAAAACTGAAAGTTCACGCCTTTTGCAATATTGCAACCCATCATCTTCATTAATATCAAATTTGCAGCCCAAGTTGATTTGCTCTTATTTGTGCCTGCCTTTTCAACAAGAATGTCTAGTTTCAAACATTACTGTATTTTTCATGTATGCCAGGGGTCTTCAAACTTGGCCCTTTTATGACTTGTGGACTTCAACTCCCAGGATTCCTCAGCCAGCATGCCTGGCTGAGGAATTCTGGGAGTTGAAGTCCACAAGTCATAAAAGGGCCAAGTTTGAAGACCCCTGATGTATGCTGACCTTCTCTACAGAAACATAAACATCCCTGGGATTAAAATAATCTAGGAAAAAATATGTAAAGGAACCAGGATCCTCTCTGATTGTCAACTGGATACTTCCATAAAGATACAATGATACCAAATTTGGTGTGGTAGTGCAGTTGGAAAACAAAAAGAAAATTAAAAATGGGGAGGATCAGGGCCGCAGAAAAAATAGTGCTTCCCTATGAAAGAAGCAGTAGGACAACAGCTTCTAATGTTGCCGGCTGTTCCATTCTAATCCCCACCATCTTGTGACTCAAAGTGTAGCATATGTAGCCTTCCATGTTCCTACACATGGAGAGCAGAAACACAGAGATGCAATTTATTATTTTGTTACTTGAAACAGTTGTTTCCAATGATCACTGCCTCTAAAAGGGCTTAAAATGATTTCCACATTTTGCATATTCTTCTGATTTTGTCTTTACCCTACTTTTGCAGCAAATATTTATCAACTGATCATTCTCAGCTTATTCCTTCTTGCATATGAATATTGATAGGATTAATGCTAGTTTATGTACTCTTTCCCCCATCTATGTAGCACCCAGTACACAGTTCCTCACTTAAGGAACTACAGCAGTAGTGATGATTATAAAAAGGAGTGCTACTAGTTCAGACAGGTTACTTGAGCCCAAAAAAACTGTGCTTCAACTTCAAAAGTTAAGAGGCTTTATATACAACTCCTAGCCTAAAGGCTTTCTCCAGCTAGCAAACAACAAAGAATTCCTATGTTTGGTTAATTCAGTGATTACTAACTAAAAAGATAGCACATGTTTGAAAACCAGAGTATTTAGAAAGAAAACATTAGCAATCTTTATCATTTAAAACAAACTCTTCTCTGTATGAATTGTTTAAAATCAGGGTTAAAATGAACTGAGAATGTACAGCAAATATTTTGGAATGCAAATTCTTGATCACTCAAATCTGAGTAAGCGTGTTAACAGTTAGGTGTAACTTCTAAACAACTCATTAAATGCAAGTTTTACACTACCCGCGAGTACCATCTCATTATTTGGTCAGGAATTTAGACTTTTTCCGCAGCAAAAGTCAAGCCAGCTGATGTTGAATGAACAACCCTTTAAGAAAACTGACAGCAGAAGCAATCATCCCTAACCAATTTGACAGGAACACAAAGGCTGCTCCTGAGCAAAAAGGAAAAAACAGGGTCCCCGAACCCATTGCTGGCTGCTTGAAAAAGGCGTGAAGCCCCTTTTTCTGAGAAAGCCACAGCTGGAAAGTAACCAATTCAGCCTTCCCTCGCTGACCCGTTTCCTCCAAAGTGGGGAGGCAAGTAAGCGGGGAAATGAACACGACAAGAAAAGTTCTCTAACGGGAAGACCTTCGGTGTTTTAGGGCAGGGCTTTTCAACCAGTGGTACGGGCACCACCTGTGGTACATTGACACCTGGCAGGTGGTACGCAACCATCCTAGAAAAGTGGTAGCGAGGGGGGGGAATGAGCTGAACCAGTGGCAGCACCGCACAAGCCTGAGCAAGAGACGGCTGGAGCTGCAGGGCTCAGTGGAAGCATCAGGATCAGCGCCAGGCTCCAGCTGGAACTTGGCGCTGATCCTGGCGCTTCTGCTGAGCCCAGAAGAACCGTCGATCAGCTGGAATGTTGCAGCATCTCCAGGGTCTTGTGATTTACATTCAGATGCTTGGCAACTGATTCATATTTATGATGGTCACAGTGTACCAGGGTCATGTGAAGTGACCAAAACCTGCTGCAACCACCCAGCAGATGGGGGGGGGATAAAAACCAAACACCCCCCCACCCCCGCTGCCAATCCTCAAGAGAAATGCCTCCCAACAATGAAAACCTCGGACAGGAGGAGGAAGAGCACCACAGGGCAGGTGTCTTGCTCGGCTGTGTCTTGGGGAGGCACTTTTTTCAGCGCCATTGGAACTTCGAACAGTCACTAAGCGAACTGTTGTAAGTCGAGGACTACCTGTACTTTATCAGTTTTTTTCCTTTTTTTGGGGGGGGGTCATCAAGTTTGGGACAACCTTGCTAGGCGACTGGTGGTCCTCGGATGTTGCCATATCCTAAAAGTGGTACAATGGATGAAAAGGTTGAAAAGCCCTGTTTTAGGGTTTCTTTCCCCCCACCCCACCCCATAACCGGCATTCAGACCAACTCCCCGCGCACGGCAGAGTCTTCCGAAAGCAGATGACGCCAGGGTTTTCTCCTGCCCCCTCCCCCTCTACTCGGGTTTGAAAGAAACCCCAGTACGGAGCGAAAGAGCTCCGGCTACACGTTACAGTAACTCCCGGGACTTGCTTGGGTTGGGGATGTCGGGGCTCGAGAGAGCGACGGGGGAAGGGGCTTCGCAAGGCTCCCCCTCGCCGCATCCCGGGCCGAGAAAAGCGGGCAGCCCCTCTTACCTGGGCGCTGCCTTTGCTCCCTCCGGAAGCTGCCGGAGCCGGAGCCGGAGCCTCGTGGCAAAGCCTGACCCTCCCCGGAGCTCCCGCAGCCAGGGCTCTCTGAAGACGCCGGCAGAGGAGGGGCAGCAGGCCTTGCATAGCGCCCGTTCCTGGCGCGGGCTCGCCGGGGACCCAGGCAGCCCTCCTGGCCAAGGGCTCAGAAGAACAACGAGCACCCCATCGTCATCGCGGCCAGAGAGCCGACGCCGGCTTTTCTTAATGCTTTTCTCCGGGCCCGCCCCTTTGGTCTACGTCACCCAAGAGGTGGAGCCTGCCAGGCACCGACTTGCTTCATTCGCGTAGAATCAGTGTTTCTCAACCTTGACAATTTTAAGGCATGTGGACTTCAACTCCCAGAATTCCACAGCCAGCTTTGCTGGCTGTGGAATTCTGGGAGTTGAAGTCCACATGCCTTAAAATTGTCAAGGTTGAGAAACACTGGCCGTAGATACCTTCGTAGCCTCCGGCGTTTTTACTGGGATCGCTGAGAGAGAGCGAGAGCGAGAAATCGCCTGGGCAGCCGTAGAGCTCCCCGCCCGCTTCGCTTTGCGGATGTTTACGCAACTAGTCGCCTTTCTTTTTTCGGGAGGGGGGTGGTGGTGGTGGACAGTTTGCATAAAAGGGGCTTGTCGTTTTCTCCTCTTTGCAATTTTGCCCCCGTTGGTCGGAAAAGCAAAAGAAGGAATCCTGGATTTTGGCTAAAAAGGTAGAGAGCCTGTAAGATACCCGCAAGGCTATTTTACCTAAATTAGATCAAATTGTTAATAAAATAAGTATATGGAAATCTGACTCACTACCTGAAAGTAGACATTTCAGTAAAGAAAGATGCTCCTAACTTCATTTCCAATTGGCCAAACGACTTTTATATCAGAAACAATCTGAGAGATTTTTCACAAAAATAAATACTTGCGTTGAATCCATTTTAGAACCTGAATCAAATTAACACCAATTGATTTTTTTTAAATATATATCACCCCTGGCTTGGGAAAAATTGGTCCATAATTTTGAATGCCTGGTGTTTTTAGGCCACTCCTTTTTGTCTAAAATTGACATTTGGGGAAGTCTTGGTGGTTAGCATTTCTTATCAAGTGTGGGTAATTTTAAATCAGAAAGCCGAAAGGAAGTAAACACTTGTTCATAGCAAAGTAGTTGGGGGGAAAAGAGAGACATAATGAAAATAGGAAGTAGAAGAAAGTGGGAGGTGGATGTTGCCAGATGGGAGACAGATGTTGAATAAAGCAATAGCTAGGACACAGAAGCAGCCACTGAAGGGAGGGATGGTTGATACTTTTCTATGGTTAATGGTTGGTTAATATATGATATGTAAACACATAAAATGCTCTATAACATCTAGTGGTGAGGCTATTTCAATGCATTCAAGTTGATTTTAAATTACCTCAGGTGGGAAATTATAAACTAATGACATGTTTATAAAGAATTAGATACTGGGGCTGCTTTCTGCTTTGTCTTTTCTCAGAAAGCAAGGATTGTTAGCCCAGACACCTCCATTGGAATTTGCTGTCCACAAGTTTCAGCCTGGTGATTGGGTCCTGATAGAAAGCTGGTGTGAAGAAAAACTTACTTCAGCCTGGGGTGGTCCCTACCAAGCCCTCCTAACAACTGAAACAGCAGTTTGAAAGAAAGAAAAAGGGTGGAGCCAAAAGAGTGGAAAATAATTCCTGGAGAAGACCCACTGTGAATAAAAATTACCAAAAACTGATGTGGTCATTGTGGGGGTGAAGAAATAATAGCCTGGGTTTGTTTGTGATTTTTCTCATTGCAGGAGTAGCAGCTTTGGGGCTTTTTTGATCTGAGTGGTGACCTATGTTATTCCATCCAAGGATTCCAGAAGAAGCTGTGGACCTCCACATTCTACAAACTTCTACATAATGTGTTGGTTCTGTGATTGCAATTGTGTCACTGAATGTTGTTGTTGTTATCACTGTTGTGATTGTGGACCAGTCTGTCCCTGTGAAGAACCTTGTAACATAGTAATAGTGGAGGATTGGTTAAAAATATGTAAAGGTCTGACATCAACATACTCTTTATCCCACATACCCAATTATAGGAGAAATTGAAATTTAGACAGCGGAAACACAACCTGACCTAAATTCAGTTATATTGGGAGATAGTGATATTCAAATTCCACGGGATGTAGAATGGATAGATTTAAGGTGTATACAGGCTAATCAAACATACAAGTCCAATGGCCTGGGAGAACCGATTAGCATTAGAGATGTTGTTAGCAGAGAAAGGAGATGTGTTTCTGTAATGGTAGGAGAAAAAGGATGCTGTACTTTCATTCCTAATAACACAGCTCCTGATGGAACAATAACTAGGGCTTTGCAAGGGTTAACTATTTTATCAGAAGATAAAGATTTAAGATTTTGAACAAACAAACATTTACATTTTTATTTATATATAAATAGATATTATGTTGTAGGACTGGCAGACTGGGGGAGGAGTAAAAAGAGGGATCAGTTTAGAGTAATTCTGTAGCCATAAGTGAACTAAGTCCCACCCCACCTTGATTGCTATTGAACCTTATCTAGCTCTAACCAAGTGTTGACTGTTAGGTGGGAAGACTCTTCTGCATAAATTGTACCTTCATGTGTAGATGTTTTTTTTGCTGCGCTCCTGACATACTTCCATCATGTACTGTTATTATATTTAGCAAATAACCACAAACTCCGCTCATCTCATATCTCTGCAAAATCAACATAGCTACATTTTCTTTCATTCTTCAGTCTCCAAATAACCCATTTCTTTTGTAGCTGTTTCACCCACACCTACCCATTCATTTCAACTAGCAATATAATGTTTCTCTGGATTGCATTTATTTAGAATACTTCAGTTTTTCCCAAAACTCATATCTGGTTCTCCCATTATCACCATTCACACTAGAAAGTAAACCCAAAGATGCTTTTTCACTCGGCAACTGGACTTCAGTGAAAAACATTGAAGACATTTCACTTTTTATCCAAGAAGCTTCTTCAGCTCTGACTGGATGGTGGGGAATGGAAGGGTTTTTATTCCTTGCAGACAGCTGGTCATTTGCATTCTTTTAGAGTCGTTAAGGCCACCTGGAGCTTTATGTGTGTCATCAGTCACCTGAGTAGTGCAAATGGGTGTGGAGCCTGCTTGAAACTGTTGGAGATAGATGATGTTGAATCCCTCCCCCTCTGTTGAGAGAGGGCTGTTTAATTTTGACATAGATGGCCTTTTTGACCCCTCTTTCAAACCAGCAGTCCTCTGTCTAAAATGTGGACTTTGCTGTCTTCGAAAGAGTGGCCTTTGTCTTTTAAATGCAGATGGACTGCTGAATCTTGTCTTGATGGGTTTGCTTTCCTATGTTGTGCCATGCGTTTATGGAGTGGTTGTTTTCTTTCCCCAATGTACAGATCTGCACATCGCTCACTGCATTGTACTGCATATACCATGTTGCTCAGTTTGTGTCTGGATGCTTTATCCTTGGAGTGTACAAGCTTCTGTTTAGTGTATTCTTGGGTTTGAAGTGTGCACATATGTTGTGTTGGCTGAAGATCTTCCTGAGCTTTTCCAATATTCTTGCAATGTTGGAGGGGGCGAGACCAAGGTGGGCGCCGGGGCCTAGTCTACCGGAAGAGCTTCACCGTCCCTCTTGGGCCACGTAGCCCCCCCGAATGGCACGGGCTGCCTGGGGCCTTGGGGGCCAGGCGCCTGGCCCAGTCCTCAAGTTCCCAGAACCCCTGGCCCTGCCTAGCCCTACTTCCCTGGGCGGCTGCCCAGCGCATCCAGCGGGCCAAATGGTGTGCCTCCCCTCCTGCGCCTCTGCCTTTGCCTGTTGCTTGGAGGGTCGGCCCAGCAGCCACAGCACTCAGATCCACCTGGCAGGCTGCGGCTGCTGCCGGGCATTGCATGTTCACTGCCTCCTGTGCGTGCGCCCACCCTGGCTGGGGTGGGCCGGAGCTGGTCCTTCACCATCCCCGGGCTGGCCCCGTGGGCCACATCTGGCCCACAGGCCTTGAGTTTGACATGTCTGCTCTAGTGTATCCAATTCTCTAGAATCAATCTCACTTACCATGGTGGGAAGGGTTTAAACCTTAAAGAATTAGGTTTTGCCAATAATGTCTGCTTTGCCAGTAATAGGTGCATTTGCATAAAACCTATAATCTTACATTATTTTTCTCTTATTCCAAGTATTGAAATTTTGCTTCAAGTTTATATATAGCTGGATACTATGCTGATTGTATAAAGTATATTTTAAAATTCCATTCTTGTCAGTACGATATAAAGTATATGAAGACAGATTTGACTGGTATTTAAAAAATATTTTGTTTTGTCTTACAATTGCTAAATATTAGCATCCATACTTGTTGGTTTGATAGTAAAAAAATGGGTCACATTATATAAACTGCATGTTGCTGTATGACTTGGACTAATTATATAATAATGTACTGTATTTGTATATCATTGTAAAAAGCTTATGATAAAAACACTCATAAACCTCTGTTCCTAGAAAATTATTTTTTTGTACACATACACACAAAATTTTACATAGAATGTGTGATTTTTTTGTTTCAGTTATTCACCTTGTTGATACTCATATATTCCTAGAATTCATATTATTTATAAATTACCATATTCACAGCTGACAAATTTTAGTATTTTTAACAAAAGCAAAGAACAATTAAATCTGCATAAAGTTTTACTAAAAAATGAGAGATTTTATAAACCGTATTTACAATTTTACTTGCTGAAATATTCAGCATTTCAAAAACCCAGCCAAGTGAGTGTTTTCTCCATTATCATAACACTTAGTTCCATATTAACTATATAGAACATTTCAGTTTTCTTGAAAATTCAAAATTAAATACCGTTACTAGATACGTTACTAAGGTAAAATTAAAAAACAAAAAACAAAGAGGAAAATAGGTAGACAAAGATAAATTCAAAGCAGGCTGACTATTTAGAACTCGAAGGGGGAAGCTAAAAATGAATAAACTCCCATAAATTAGGATAGTGAAAATGTGTAATAAAATGTATTTTGGGGGGAAAAAACCTCTTTCATTCTAAAACTTGCAAAGTCTTATTTCAATAGAATCAAGAAGATACCGATTCTGTAGAATCAAGATTATCTGTGGTTTTAAGATAGACTATCAAAAATAGAAGGAGCAATTACTATAATCCTAGAAGTTTTTTAGCTTCTTCACTTTGAGCCAGAAGAGCTTCACTGGCGTATTTTTGAAGAAGTTCCATCTTCTTTCTTCGGACGAGAGCTTCCTCAATCTGTTAAATGAGCAACATTCAATTTGAAAACTTGCAAATTGGAAATTCTTTAGTAAAAGTGACTTAAGAAAATGACAGCATGATAACAGAATTAATTACGTAGATCAAAAATTACTTTGCCCACAGAACCTGGAACCTCATTTAGTAAAAACAATGCAAGTTACAATACTATTTTTTCAGAAATGAGTATAAAAATTAGTAAATTGTTCAACTGCAGCACCTTGCAAACACACTTACAAAAATGCGTTCATACTATGCAAACAATCAAAACATAACTTGCCAATTAGATAACCTACATTTTAATTGTTTGCATTGTATGAATACATTTTAAAGGTTCTAATTTCCTCACTAATACAGTAGTGAGCCTAAAGATTATACAGATCTATCCTTATAATGGCAAATCAAGTTTTCATATCAAAGGAAGAAGGAAGAAAGGAAGAAAGGAAGAAAGGAAGGAAGGAAGGAAGGAAGGAAGGAAGGAAGGAAGGAAGGAAGGAAGGAAGATAATGACAATGAGGGAGGGAAGGAAAACATAATGGGGAAGCCAACAGGAAGTTAGAAGTTCATTCTACTCCCATGGTCATTCTGTTTTCTATATTTAGGAAAAAGACAATCTTTAAAAGAAAGACCCAACAGGGCACAGGTTGTCTAGTAATGAATTAAATTCCTAATGAAGAAAGTGGCACTTTTACCATCTCTCCCTTTATTTCCAAGCGTACGTGAATACCCAACTATCAACAGGAATAGCATTTAGCAATAGCTCTTAGACTTATATACCGCTTCACAGTGCTTTACAGCCCTCTCTTAAGTGGTTTACAGAGTCAGCATCTTGCCCCCCAACAAACTGGGTCCTCATTTTACTGACCTGGGAAGGATGGAAGGCTGGGTAAGCCTTGAGCCGGTGAGAACTGAACTGCCGAACTGCTGGCAGCCAGCAGAAGTATCTGAGTACTGCACCCTAACCCTAACCACTGCACCACCAGTGGTCTATTACAGTATATTCTGAGGAAATCCTCTTACTTTGAAATATACTAATTGTTTTGCTGCAACTAGTGCACAAATCTACTTCTTTCAAAGTTAAACTTCTTGTATATCCTTTCTTCCTTCCTCATTAATTCCTCTCTTTCTTTATCCTTCCCTTTCACTTTTTTTTCTGCCTCCCTCCCTCCCTCCCCCACCTTTCAAAGTTATGCTTCCTGTATTTCCTTCATGTGCAAGTCCTTACCTCCTGTTGTGATGGTACTGGGACGTGAGCAATAAACGTCTGCTGACTATCCTCACCATCAGTTTTCATTCCATTTTCTTCATCAGACTGCAAAGCATTGAGAAAATGTTGAATTCAAAGTTTGCTTAGCAAATCATTAGAACTTTGTCTCAAAATAAATAGAATAATTACTTGCTCCCCTGACTGCACTTCAGCCAGAGTCCAGGCAGAAATCAGAGTTAATTATATTCATGATGTATAGGATAGCATTGAAAAATGCAGGTGTGTCCAATTGTGAATATGTAGCTGCACATTTATAATTAATCTTTTTTTTATCACTCACATAGGTGCACATTGTTAATTGTTAATCTTTTTTATCACTCACTCTATATAACTATATAGTACACTATATAGTTTACTATGCGTACTATATAATATACAGTATAGTATAAAATTGGAAACAGATATAATACCTCGTTGTCATTTACTGCATAGATGTTTTCTTCCTCCTCCTCCTCCTCTTCCTTGTCACCTCTTGCGAGATGTGCTGCTTTTTCTGCCTTCCACCTTTCCACTGCTTCTGTAATAACTGGGAAAGCAAAATAGCCACATTTGAAAGTTGTATCGAAAACCGCAAACTACTAAGATATAGCACAGTGATGGCGAACCTTTTAGAGACCAAGTGCCAAAAACTGGCCCCATCCCTGCCATGCCCACCCCTACTCTGTCCCAGCCCCTGCCCCCCGCCCTGCCCACCCAGCCACCCACTGCCTCCATGGCCCGCCGCAGATCGTTCAGGCAGTCCAGCGGCGCCATGGCAGCCATGCCCTCCGTCCATACCCCACAGCATCATCTGCGTGCAATGGAGCACGAGGGTGGAGTCTTGTCCCTGCTGCCCAGCCGCCATGTCCTTGGCTGTGCGGCTCCGTGCGGGCCGCGCATGGGGGCGAATCTCCTCCAGGGGGGCTGCTGGTGAGGAGGGGGCTGCGGGGGGAGGCGGGGCTGGGGCGATGGTGCGCGTGCCCAGAGAGGGCTCTGAGTGCCACCTCTGGCATGCGTGCCATAGGTTCGCCACCACTGATATAGAAACTACTCATCATTATAGTGGACATTCTGTTTATCTCTTTAGGATAAGTAAATATTGAATTGTTATTGAAGTTTGTTTGCTACCTTAATTATTTTTCTATGTATGATATATATATTCTTCTTAGATGATTATGAGAATATTTAATATTCACTCTGGTCATATCAGACTGTACCATCTTTCTTTCAAAAGAAAGCAACTAAGTTATGCAACTCAGAACTTATAAAAGGGAAAACATCAATACTGTGGTGGTTGGAGAAAAAGACATTTGTAAGCTGTAAAAAAAAGGGGGGTGTTTATAATTTTATTTGTAATTAAGACTTATATAGTTGTTCAATTCAACATAGACTCTGGGTGGCATATACATTTAAAAGCAAATGCTTATACTGAACAAAAAGTAAATGTGATAATAAATGTAACCCTAACATACTCAACCCAAAACATAAACCAGGTCAGTACACCAATGCCAGAATTTGGAGAAAAAAATTTAAGTTTTCAGAGATCATTTAAAGCCTTACAGAGCTAGAAGAGTTTCTCTAACACAGTGGTTCTCAACCTTTTTAATGCTGCGACCCCAACTGGTCGTAAGTCGAGGACTAAACCGGTCGTAAGTCGAGGACTACCCAACCGGTCGTAAGTCGAGGACTTTCCCTGCCCGGGAGCGCCACGCATGCGTGGTTCCGCCCCCTGCGCCGGCCGAGGCGTAGCTGGCAAGTGGCAGAGATGGAGCAGGCCAACCACCAGCTGGCCCAGCCCAAGGGAGGTAAGGCACTCGCCAGAAAACGGAGAAAAAAATGGCGGACAAAAAAAATGGCGGACAGCCTTGCTTGGCGACCCCCATGAAATGGTCGATCGACCCCAAATGGGGTCCCGACCCACAGGTTGAGAACCACTGCTCTAACAGGACCTATTAAACAAATCAGTGAATATTTGAAAGAACATAATATACCAAATGAACAAGAACTTTTAGTAAAAGAAGGAAAATATGATATACTGGGTATAATTGAGACCCAATAAAGTAACAGTTGAAGGGTACATAATTGGCATTATGTACCTTTTGTTTTCAAAAGGAAGAGAAACAGCAGAAATGGAGGAGTTGCACTGAATATTAAAAATACCCATGTCTGCTTAGAAATCCAAATTAATTAACTTGATGATACAGTACCATGCGTCTTGGTTAAAATTAGTGAAGGAGCGTCTACACAGGCTTAAGCATTTTAGATTTGAAGACAAAAAGATTATTTGGAAGATGTGGGAACATGAATCCAGCACCATTTTTCAATTCCTTAGGCCAAATGTGTCATTGTCTAAGATCAGGTAGCAGATAAAGAGGGCAGCCATGTGGTCCCAGGAAACGGTGCTGCTGCTTTAAGGAGTTGCAGACAGGTGTTAGCACCCTTTTGCTCTTTACTCTAGCAAAAGCTGCTAGATTCAATGACACTGAAGCATAATAGCAGGTTGAATCTGTCTGCGTTACCTTCAGATAATACTTCTGATAGCTAATGTCTGGTTTAGGAGACAACACATCCCTATTTTTAAGAAACAAAAAAAAAGATGAATGGGGGGAGATCCATGAAATTATAAATCAGTCTCACATGAGGACCTCGGAAGACTCTTGCATGAATTATAAGGAGACTGACCCATATGCATCTTAAAAAGAAACGATCTTGGATTTATCTTAAACAAGTCTCACCAGGTTAGTCTTATCTCATGTTCTGATCGGGTAACTTCCTTAGTAAACTGTGTAAATGCAACAGACATAGTTTCTTGATTTCAGCAAAACATTTAACAAAGTATCCTCTGACACCATAACTAACAAACTAGTTATACTGGGCTGGACGGCATGAAATAATATACTGTACATAGATGGAGTGAAAGCTTTCCAATGTTTCCTCATCATACTGCAGTGAGGTATTCAGTAGCGTTCGGTCCTTAACCTTCTACCTCAAATGATACTAATAGGTTTAAAGAAATGGACTGCAGGAAATTAAATGAAATTTAACAAAAACAAATGCCAATTTCTTTGCTGAAGAATACATATGCATACAAAGGTATTTGCATAGGTGTGAAAAGAACCTTAGAATAATAGTTAATTGCAAAATGAATTTATTAGATCTAATTCTGTGTTCCACACTATGAAGGATTAGACTGAAAGACAGCGAGCATGGTCCAGGAACGAGAAATTAGTTCCTATGAAAGGAAACGGTAACATATAGCCTTGACAAGAGAAGACTGGGTACAAGCAAAACCGGCTCTCTATCAATCCGAAAGTCAGAATATAGAATAATGGGTTTAAGATATAGGAACACAGCTTTTGGCAGAAAAATCCTAACATTAAAGTAGACTGAAAATGGAGTTAGAATCAAAAGAGAAGTAAGCTCCCTTTCTCTTGATGTTTCAAGTGATCTATGTAGGTACGGCATCTAAAGCATCTTTTGGAAGTGCTTTAATCTGGATTCCTATACCGAGCAGGGGACTGGATTAAATGGAGCTAGTCCTCAATTTGCAAACACAATTGAAACCCAGATTTTAGTTGTAAGTTGTTGCAGTCAAAACTCAGGTCACAACATGACTGGACTCTATTTTGAGAGTGTTTTTTACAGTTGTTAAGCCTGGCACCACCATCGTTAAGTGAATCAGATGGTTGTAAATCTGAATCTATCTTATCCAAAGGGTGTTTTTTGCCAAATGTGATCACGTGACACCAAGATACTGCAATCAGTCATAAATTTGAGCCAGTTGTCACCTGCCTGAAATCATGTGGGCATCACGTCGTCAGTATTGAACTCCTACCAAGTACTCATTTTAAGGTAGTAATGAAACCTACCAGCAATTCACTGACCGGTATTGAGTTCCTGATAGGCCCCCGGGAAAGGTTAAGGTGTTAAGAAATTTAGGTAGAGTAGAATAATAAACACATTTAGAAACTTTGCGTTGTCATAAGACTTAAGTTTTCGTTGTGTCCAAAGCGCTCTGTTGATAAGAAGTAAGTTCTGCTGGGAGATCACTCACATTCACTTATAGAATTTTAACAAAATTAAAAGAGGCAATTTAGTTATTTCCTTATTTCAGGTCATCTAGTTTGATTTAGGCCCATTCATTCTTAAAACACATGCATTAATTTCCTCGGTATGCATGTGATAAATGAGAATCCACGTTCTGGAGTTAATTACCATGAAAGCAGATTCAGGCAGGCTTACCAATACATGGCAGCAGCATTCACTAAACTGCATTAAATAGCAGGAACAAAAACATCTGACTCCTTCACAGAAAAAGGCTATACAATATAAGCATTAGGCTGGAAAATAAGAGTCATTAAGCTTCCAATCTTGTTTATCGGCCATGGGACTGAAAATGTTTGGTACAAGAGATTATGTTTTAAAACTAGATGCAAATGTACAGAGCCAGTTTGGTCTACTACAGTGTTTCTCAACCTTGACAATGTTAAGGCACGTGGACTTCAACTCCCAGAATTCCACAGCCAGCAATGCTGGCTGTGGAATTCTGGGAGTTGAAGTCCACGTGCCTTAACATTGTCAAAGTTGAGAACACTGGTCTACTGGGTAAGGTATGGGGCTAGAAAGCACGAGACCATGAGTTCAAGTCCTGACTTAGCCATGAAAGCCAATTGGGTGACCTTGGGCCAATCACTCTCAGCCCAACCCATTTTACAGGTTGTTGTTGTTATGGGGAAAATAGGAGCAGTAAGGTGTGATGGATATGTTTGCTGCCTTGAGTTTTTTGTAAAAATAATAAAGGCGGGAAATAAATACATAAATACATACATACATAATTTTTTCCTCATAACAAAAATCCTGTGAAATAGGTTGAACTAAGACACGGGTCGGCAACCCGCGGCTCCGGAGCCGCATGCGGCTCTTTGAGCTGTCTCCTGCGGCTCCCAGCCCAATGCATTTCCCCCCCCCCAAAAAAAAATGGCTCTAAAGAAGTTCAACCAATCAATTCAAACTTCTCACAGAAAAAAAATGTGTGAAGTTTGAATTCATTGGACGAACTCTGCCTGGAAAGGTTGGTGGGGACTTGCCTGCTCCCAGGCAAGCCTTTACTTTGCTCTGTGCTCCCGTTTTAAACAGCGTCAAACAACCGAAGCACTCGATGGGGGGAAGGAGGCTCTGCCTGGAAAGGTTGGTGGGGACTTGCCTGCTCCCAGGCAAGCCTTTACTTTGCTCTGTGCTCCCGTTTTAAACAGCGTCAAACAACCGAAGCACTCGATGGGGGGAAGGAGGCTCTGCCTGGAAAGGTTGGTGGGGACTTGCCTGCTCCCAGGCAAGCCTTTACTTTGCTCTGTGCTCCCGTTTTAAACCTGAGGAGGGAGGTGCTTGTGTGCAAATGTGTTTCTTTTGCAGGGAAGCTGCTTTGCTAAAGGTTATATCTTCCTCTTCCTTCCTTCCTGTTTTCTTTCTTTCTCTTTTTACCTTCCTTCCTTCCCATATTCTTCCTGCCTTCCTTCTTCCTTTCTTGTCTTCCCTTTCTTTCTTTCTTTCTTTCTTTCTTTCTTTCTTTCTTTCTTTCTTTCTTTCTTTCTTTCTTTCTTTCTTTCTTTCTTTCTTTCTTTCTTTCTTTCCCTCTCTCTCAATAAGCAAGCAATCTGGGTTCTGACTGGCTGCTCCGCGCCTCCTGCTCCTCCTCCCCTCACACAAGTAAACTGCATGCAAAAATCCCACATCATACCGGCTCTGAGGCAAGCCATTTCACTTTGCCCGATTCTTTCTGTTTCAAAAGCAGCCTTGGTGCTTGCTGGGGGGAGGGGGGGCTCAGCCTGGATCGGCTGGTGGGCTGGCCGCTCTTCTCCAGCGCCAGTTGGCATGCTTGCAGATCGCCCCCCCCCCCCAATAAATAAATACAAAAAGCTGAAAGGGAGGAAAGAAGCTGGGCTGGAGCTTCTGCACAGGGTGGTTGGGCTTTCGGCAGGTTTGCCTGCAATTAAGGCAGGGTGAGGTTTTTTCTAGTGAGGCTGAGGGGCCAGCTGCTCACGTGTCTGCTCACATAAGAACGAATGTGTTTCTTTTGCAGGGAGGCTGCTTTGTTGAAGGTTATATCTTCCTTCCTTCCTTTTCTTCCTGTTTTCTTTCTTTCTCTTTTTCCTTCCTTTTCTTCCTTTTCTTCCTGTTTTCTTTCTTTCTCTTTTTCCTTCCTTTTCTTCCTGTTTTCTTTCTTTCTCTTTTTCCTTCCTTTTCTTCCTGTTTTCTTTCTTTCTCTTTTTCCTTCCTTCCTTCCTTTTCTTCCTGTTTTCTTTCTTTCTCTTTTTCCTTCCTTCCTTTTTTCTTTCTTTCTCTTTTTCCTTCCTTCCTTCCCATATTCTTCCTGCCTTTCTTCTTCCTTTCTTGTCTTTTCTTTCTTGTCTTTTCTTTCTTGTCTTTTCTTTCTTGTCTTTTCTTTCTTTCTTTCTTTCTTTCTTTCTTTCTCTCTCTCTCTCAATAAGCAAACAATCTGGGCTTTGACTGGCACTGGCTGCTCTGCGCTTCCTCCTCCTCCCTCCCCCCCAACAAGTAAACTGCATGCAAAAATCCCACAAGATCTACCAGCAGTGTTTTTGCTCCTAAGTCAGCCTATGTCTGCGCACACGCACAGACTTAAAGGGAGGCTTCCAAACCTGACATGCATACACATGTGGATGTCTGCAAAAAAAAAATGGAAAAAAAGGGGGAAAAGTGGACATGATTATTTAAAGACCCCCACTTTTCTGCATGGGCTTGAGCAGGAGGCTGGAGTAGAAGATCTCCAAGGTCCCTTCCAGCTCTATTCTATTCTATAGGCAGGAGCTTATTGTAATCATTGCACCCCCTTACTGGAATATCACCCTTTCTATAAATATGCAGTGTTATCTATATATTCTATATATATGCAGGATATATGCAGTGTTATCTTCATTTTAGATATCCAAAGGGTTTTGCGGCTCCCTGTGTTTTGTTTTCGGTGGGAAATGGGTCCAAGTGGCTCTTTGAGTATTTTGGGTTGCCTACCCCTGAACTAAGAGAAAGTGACAGACCCAAAGTCACCCAGTGAATTCCATGGCTGAAGGCAGACCACAAGCTGAATTTCCCCACTCCTAATCTGACATCTAAACCACTATGCTGTGGGTTGTATTAGTGGGGGAGCTGCACATTCAGGTAGAATGACGACTTCATGTTAGATCCTTGGAACAATGAAGAAACTATTTGTTTTCTTGGCATCCCAATAACAAAGAAAAGAACAGTGAATACAGAGATAGACTTGCAGGGAGATATCAGCAGTCGGGGACCAAGACTATTTGCTTTCTTTAAGTCTTAACAGGTTTTCTGTAGGATAGAAATTCTACTGCTTGCTAGTGCTTCAGGAAGACCAAGAACTTCCTATTTATTTAAGATGGTCATAAAATGCTACTTCTCAGTCCAGTGTAGTAATTAGTAAGAATCCCTTAACTCACAATTTAATCATGAATGAATAAGTGGGTCTGGCTCACTCTCAGCTGAGTGAGGACATTTTCAGTCTACTTAAAACAATTCTTTTCAAAATGCAGCAATGTGCATGATCCATTGAATGAAAAGATGAAGTAAGCTTTTGGAATTTATCACCTCTACTGAAAAATTCTATCTGAAAATCTGGACATATACATCTGTGATAAACCATCAAGACATTGAGATTCTGCTGATGTACCACTATCTACTACCCAACACTTCTTTGTATTTCTGAAGTGACCTTTTAAACTGATTGTGCTTACAGTGTCTCCTTCTAAATTTAGTGTGCTGGGGGGGAACATCTAATATTGGTATCACATCAACAGGAGCAGTTGGGGATTTAATGATTTCTAGAATGTTTAGGAAGCGTACTCTCAAATTTAATTTTTGGAGATCAAGATAAATTTTTGTTTAGGAGTTATAATAATAATAATCATGATGATGATGATGATGATGATGATGATAAAGTTGGAAGGGATCTCGGAGGTCATCTAGTCCAACCTCCTGCTGAGGCAGGAAACCCTATACCATTTCGGACAAATGACTGTCCAGTTTCTTCTTAAAAACTTCCAGTGTTGGAGCATTCACCGCTTCTGGGGGCAGGTTGTTCCACTGGTTAATTGTTCTAACCGTCAGGAAGTTTCTCTTTAGTTCTAAGTTGCTTCTCTCCTTGATCAGTTTCCACCCGTTGCTCCTTGTCCTGCCTTCAGGCGTTTTGGAAAATAGCTTGACTCCCTCTTCTTTGTGGCAGCCCCTGAGATATTGGAACACTGCTATCATGTCCCCCCTCGTCCTTCTCTTTGTTAAACTAGACATACCCAATTCCAGCAACCGTTGACAGAATGCTCTCACAGATAAACCATTCCCATGAAAAACGGAAAATAGAAGACTCCATTAAGAACTTTAACTCATTGGAGACTAATGAACTCTGGAGTGTTCTAAGGCAGGGGTGTCAAACTGCCGGCCCGTGGGCCGGATGCGTCATGCCAAAACCACGCCCACCCCATTGCCAGCAATGGGGAAAAAGTCACAATACATCACGACACGTCACATGACGTCGCGAGTTTGACACCCGTGTTCTAAGGAGTTTTCTGCTACTACAGCTGAGCCTCATCTATTTGTACAATGGAGTATTCTGCTCATACATGGGAGTTAGGAACTATCTGTGCTTTGACATCTTGCTAAAAATACATAGAAGTTGCAGATTAAAGCTACCACTGGCTTCACGCTAATGCAAGTCTTACTTCAAGATGCCAGTACAAGCTAATGACAGTGGGTAACATGATTATTCAAAATCTGATGAATAATCTGATTTCTAAATTATCAAATGAACTTTCAACAGATTCCAATAGTACTTTACTTTTTGGAATGGGACATGAGGGTCGTACATACTTTAAATGCAAAAAAATTGAGTTTAAATTCCTAGCATTTATAATTCTTTTAGAAAGTTATCTGGCAACCTGCAATAGAAAATGCAACAATTTGGTAGCCAATTTTGTTATGAATCTGATCAATGTCTGGAACACAAAAGCAGCCAAAGAAGCTCTTGATACGATTACTCCCAACTGATCTTGCTTTTAGTTGAGTTCTCCAGGTGGTTAAGTAACAGAAGAGATCCCTGTAGTACCATGGAGTAAGATGAAGACTGAATCTCACAGAATACAGCTGCAAGCTCATATTCAAGAACTGGAATATTTAATACAAGTCATTTCTGGCTACCAAAACCCAGAATAAATGCTACTGTCAAAAAGCCAACAGTTATTTCCTATACCTTTTTTTTCATGTTCCTGTTCCAGTGGTTCGAGGACACCATCATCCTCA